CTGCTGCTGCTGTTGCTACTGCTGCTGCTGTTGTTGCTGCTGCTACTGCTGCTGCTGCTGCTGCTGCTACTGCTGCTGCTGTTGTTGCTGCTGTTGCTGTTGCTGCTGTTGCTGCTACTACTGTTGTTGCTGTTGTTGCTGCTACTGCTGCTGCTGTTGTTGCTGCTACTGCTGCTGCTGCTGCTGCTGCTACTGCTGCTGCTGTTGTTGCTGTTGTTGCTGCTACTGCTGCTGCTGCCGCTGCTGTTGTTGCTGCTACTGCTGCTGTTGTTGCTACTGCTGCTGTTGCTACTGCTGCTGCTGTTGTTGCTGCTGCTACTGCTGCTACTGCTGCTGCTGCTGTTGCTGCTGCTGCCGCTGCTGTTGCTGCTACTGCTGCTACTAATACTGCTGCTACTACTCCTGCTGCTACTACTGCTGCTACTGCTGCTACTGCTGCTGCTGCTACTGCTGCTGCAGCGTGCCGCTCGGAAGGTGGGGGTGTTACCGTCGGCGCCGCCCGCTAGAGACGAAGCACTTTCCCGGGTGCCTGTGCCATCAAACGCTCCACGCCGCCTCAGCCTTTTCCATTGGCGATGGGGGCCAGTTGCGGATGAGAGCGGAGAGCGTTCCATAGCCTGGGGCCGCGTGCTTTCGGCCAGCTCCAGTTTTTTTTTTTGACGGCAGAGGTCTCGCTCCGGCACAGTCAGGCAGGAGTTAATTTTTTTAGTATTTTGTCCTCGGCTAACGCGACGCCGTGTGGAAGCCGCCTGGTCTGTCGCTCGGCATGAAGCTTCGGGTCTTCCCCGGTTCTACAGTAATGCTGCCCTGTCTTCTCTGTGCTTGTAAAACGCGGACCCCCCCCCCCCCTCTGATGGAGCATCTGCGTTGGTGCGATAATTCGGGCTCGCAAATTCCTGCAAAGATTTGGACACATTCCCCCTCGACGAGCTATTCCGGCAGGCTAAGGCTGCTTTGGCTGGGTCATGTAGCCCGCATGGCCCCAGCCACGGCATGCCCAAAAACAGCTTTTGTTCGGCCGGATCGAGGGGGCTAAACGGGCGCGGCACGGGGCTAGAGAAGAGATGGAGTGACGTGGTACAGGAGGCACGTGGCTAGAGAAGAGATGGAGTGATGTGGTACAGGAGGCACGGGGCTAGAGAAGAGATGGAGTGACGTGGTACAGGAGGCACGGGGCTAGAGAGGAGATGGAGTGATGTGGTACAGGAGGCACGGGGCTAGAGAAGAGATGGAGTGATGTGGTACAGGAGGCACGGGGCTAGAGAAGAGATGGAGTGATGTGGTACAGGAGGCACGGGGCTAGAGAAGAGATGGAGTGATGTGGTACAGGAGGCACGGGGCTAGAGAAGAGATGGAGTGACGTGGTACAGGAGGCACGGGGCTAGAGAAGAGATGGAGTGATGTGGTACAGGAGGCACGGGGCTAGAGAAGAGATGGAGTGATGTGGTACAGGAGGCACGGGGCTAGAGAAGAGATGGAGTGATGTGGTACAGGAGGCACGGGGCTAGAGAAGAGATGGAGTGATGTGGTACAGGAGGCACGGGGCTAGAGAAGAGATGGAGTGATGTGGTACAGGAGGCACGGGGCTAGAGAAGAGATGGAGTGATGTGGTACAGGAGGCACGGGGCTAGAGAAGAGATGGAGTGATGTGGTACAGGAGGCACGGGGCTAGAGAAGAGATGGAGTGATGTGGTACAGGAGGCACGGGGCTAGTGAAGAGATGGAGTCACGTGGTACAGGAGGCACGGGGCTAGACAAGAGATGGAGTGATGTGGTACAGGAGGCACGGGGCTAGAGAAGAGATGGAGTGATGTGGTACAGGAGGCACGTGGCTTGAGAAGAGATGGAGTGATGTGGTACAGGAGGCACGGGGCTAGAGAAGAGATGGAGTGATGTGGTACAGGAGGCACGGGGCTAGAGAAGAGATGGAGTGATGTGGTACAGGAGGCACGGGGCTAGAGAAGAGATGGAGTGACGTGGTACAGGAGGCACGGGGCTAGAGAAGAGATGGAGTGATGTGGTACAGGAGGCACGGGGCTAGAGAAGAGATGGAGTGACGTGGTACAGGAGGCACGGGGCTAGAGAGGAGATGGAGTGATGTGGTACAGGAGGCACGGGGCTAGAGAAGAGATGGAGTGATGTGGTACAGGAGGCACGGGGCTAGAGAAGAGATGGAGTGATGTGGTACAGGAGGCACGGGGCTAGAGAAGAGATGGAGTGATGTGGTACAGGAGGCACGGGGCTAGAGAAGAGATGGAGTGACGTGGTACAGGAGGCACGGGGCTAGAGAAGAGATGGAGTGATGTGGTACAGGAGGCACGGGGCTAGAGAAGAGATGGAGTGATGTGGTACAGGAGGCACGGGGCTAGAGAAGAGATGGAGTGATGTGGTACAGGAGGCACGGGGCTAGAGAAGAGATGGAGTGATGTGGTACAGGAGGCACGGGGCTAGAGAAGAGATGGAGTGATGTGGTACAGGAGGCACGGGGCTAGAGAAGAGATGGAGTGATGTGGTACAGGAGGCACGGGGCTAGAGAAGAGATGGAGTGATGTGGTACAGGAGGCACGGGGCTAGAGAAGAGATGGAGTGATGTGGTACAGGAGGCACGGGGCTAGTGAAGAGATGGAGTCACGTGGTACAGGAGGCACGGGGCTAGACAAGAGATGGAGTGATGTGGTACAGGAGGCACGGGGCTAGAGAAGAGATGGAGTGATGTGGTACAGGAGGCACGTGGCTTGAGAAGAGATGGAGTGATGTGGTACAGGAGGCACGGGGCTAGAGAAGAGATGGAGTGATGTGGTACAGGAGGCACGGGGCTAGAGAAGAGATGGAGTGATGTGGTACAGGAGGCACGGGGCTAGAGAAGAGATGGAGTGACGTGGTACAGGAGGCACGGGGCTAGAGAAGAGATGGAGTGATGTGGTACAGGAGGCACGGGGCTAGAGAAGAGATGGAGTGATGTGGTACAGGAGGCACGGGGCTAGAGAAGAGATGGAGTGATGTGGTACAGGAGGCACGGGGCTAGAGAAGAGATGGAGTGATGTGGTACAGGAGGCACGGGGCTAGAGAAGAGATGGAGTGACGTGGTACAGGAGGCACGGGGCTAGACAAGAGATGGAGTGATGTGGTACAGGAGGCACGGGGCTAGACAAGAGATGGAGTGATGTGGTACAGGAGGCACGGGGCTAGAGAAGAGATGGAGTGATGTGGTACAGGAGGCACGGGGCTAGAGAAGAGATGGAGTGATGTGGTACAGGAGGCACGGGGCTAGACAAGAGATGGAGTGATGTGGTACAGGAGGCACGGGGCTAGACAAGAGATGGAGTGATGTGGTACAGGAGGACGTGGAGCTGAGTGGACTTGCCGATGACCGGTACCAGCGGTGTCAAGATCGGCCTCTGTGGAGGAGGCTCGTGAAGGATGCTACTGTGTGTCTCTCTCTCTCCCCGTGTCTCTCTCTCTCTCCCCGTGTCTCTCTCTCTCTCCCCGTGTCTCTCTCTCTCCCCGTGTCTCTCTCTCTCTCCCCGTGTCTCTCTCTCTCTCCCCGTGTCTCTCTCCCCATGTCTCTCTCTCTCCCCGTGTCTCTCTCTCTCTCTCCCCGTGTCTCTCTCTCTCTCCCCGTGTCTCTCTCTCCCCGTGTCTCTCTCTCTCCCCGTGTCTCTCTCTCTCCCCGTGTCTCTCTCTCTCCCCGTGTCTCTCTCTCTCTCTCCCCGTGTCTCTCTCTCTCTCTCCCCGTGTCTCTCTCTCTCTCTCCCCGTGTCTCTCTCTCTCCCCATGTCTCTCTCTCTCTCTCCCCATGTCTCTCTCTCACTCTCCCCGTGTCTCTCTCACTCTCCCCGTGTCTCTCTCTCTCCCCATGTCTCTCTCTCTCCCCGTGTCTCTCTCTCTCCCCGTGTCTCTCTCTCTCCCCGTGTCTCTCTCTCTCCCCGTGTCTCTCTCTCTCCCCGTGTCTCTCTCTCTCCCCGTGTCTCTCTCTCTCCCCGTGTCTCTCTCTCTCCCCGTGTCTCTCTCTCTCCCCGTGTCTCTCTCTCTCTCCCCGTGTCTGTCTCTCTCCCCGTGTGTCTCTCTCTCCCCGTGTGTCTCTCTCTCCCCGTGTGTCTCTCTCTCCCCGTGTCTCTCTCTCCCCGTGTCTCTCTCTCTCCCCGTGTCTCTCTCTCTCCCCGTGTCTCTCTCTCTCCCCGTGTCTCTCTCTCTCCCCGTGTCTCTCTCTCACTCTCCCCGTGTCTCTCTCTCACTCTCCCCGTGTCTCTCTCTCACTCTCCCCGTGTCTCTCTCTCACTCTCCCCGTGTCTCTCTCACTCTCCCCGTGTCTCTCTCACTCTCCCCGTGTCTCTCTCTCTCTCCCCGTGTGTCTCTCTCCCCGTGTGTCTCTCTCCCCGTGTCTCTCTCACTCTCCCCGTGTCTCTCTCTCTCCCCGTGTCTCTCTCTCTCCCCGTGTCTCTCTCTCTCCCCGTGTCTCTCTCTCTCCCCGTGTCTCTCTCTCTCTCCCCGTGTCTCACTCTCCCCGTGTCTCTCTCACTCTCCCCGTGTCTCTCTCACTCTCCCCGTGTCTCTCTCACTCTCCCCGTGTCTCTCTCACTCTCCCCGTGTCTCTCTCTCTCCCCGTGTCTCTCTCTCTCCCCGTGTCTCTCTCTCCCTGTCTCTCTCTCTCCCCGTGTCTCTCTCTCTCTCCCCGTGTCTCTCTCTCTCCCCGTGTCTCTCTCTCTCCCCGTGTCTCTCTCTCCCTCCCCGTGTCTCTCTCTCCCCGTGTCTCTCTCCGTGTCTCTCCCCGTGTGTCTCTCTCTCTCTCCCCGTGTCTCTCTCCGTGTCTCTCCCCGTGTGTCTCTCTCTCTCTCCCCGTGTCTCTCTCCGTGTCTCTCTCTCCCCGTGTGTCTCTCTCTCTCTCTCCCCGTGTCTCTCTCCCCGTGTGTCTCTCTCTCCCCGTGTCTCTCTCACTCCCCCCGTGTCTCTCTCTCTCCCTGTGTCTCTCTCTCTCCCCGTGTGTCTCTCTCTCTGCGTAGTGGAGTCTCTGGGCCGTCTGGCCGTGGCTGGTGGAGGCGTGATCTCCATCGGTGCCCTCTGCTACTACGGACTGGGCCTCTCCAACGAGCCCGGTGCCATCGAGAGGGCAAGGTCAGGGCCCTGCTGCTGAGCGCACCTTTGGGAGGGACGGTGCAACCATCACCACCACCACCACCATCACCACCATCACCACCATCACCACCACCATCATCACCATCACCACCATCATCACCACCATCACCACCACCATCACCACCACTACCACCATCACCACCATCACCACCATCACCACCATCACCATCATCACCACCATCACCATCATCACCACCATCACCATCACCACTACCACCATCACCACCATCACCACCATCATCACTACCACCATCACCACCATCACCACCATCACCATCATCACCACCACCACTACCACCATCACCACCACCACTACCACCATCACCACCACCACCATCACCACCACCATCATCACCACCATCACCATCATCACCACCACCATCACCACCACCATCACCACCATCATCACCACCATCATCACCACCATCACCACCATCATCACCACCACCACCATCACCATCACCACCATCACCACCACCATTACCACCATCACCACCATCACCACCATCACCATCACCACCATCACCACCACCATCACCACCATCACCATCACCACCATCACCACCATCACCACCTCCTCCCTGTGTCTTCTCTCTCTCTCTCTCTGCCTGCGTCTTTCTCCCCGTGTCTGTGTCTGTGTGTGTCTGTGTGTGTCTGTGTGTATAGTCTGTTGTGGGGAGCGATAGTGTAGCGGTTAGCGCTACGCTGCGCTATGAACCTGGCGACCCGAGTTCGATTCCCGCTCACGGCCAACACCAGTGACGATTATCTGAACCGGTCCCGGGCCTCCCCTAGGTCGACTCAGCCTCAAATGAGTACCTGGTGCGGTGTGTAGTAAACATCGCCACTGGGGAGACAAAGGCGGTCGGGCGTGGTGCTGGCCACCCCACCCCCTCGTGAACCGTTCCGGCCTTCATAGGTGCCGCTCGCTAACAGCACTTGCCCCTACAGTCTGTTAAGGCTATGTGGGGGATCTTTGTTCTTTGTCTTTGTATAGTCTGTGGCCACGCTACGTGCGAGAGAGAGTCCGAGACACCTACACCTACCTGGGTGCCACCATCTCCCTCACCGCGGCCTCGGCGGCCCTGGCCGCACGATCACCGACCATAATGAGCCTGGCCTCTCGCAGCTCCTGGCTGGTAACGCGTGCACACAGAGACACGCAGAGACGCGCAGAGACACGCACAGACACACACACAGACACACACAGAGACACGCACAGAGATACACACACACAGACACACACACAGAGACACAGACGCACAGACACACACACAGAGACACAGATGCACAGACACACACACAGAGACACAGACGCACAGACACACACACAGACACGCACAGACACACACGGAGACACACACAGATATGCACAGACACACACAGAGACAGAGATACAGAGACGCACAGACACACACACAGACATGCACAGACACAGACGCACATACACACATAGAGACACACACAGACACACACGCAGACACACAGAGACACGCACAGAGACACACACAGAGACACACACAGAGACACACACAGAGAGATACACAGAGACACACAGAGATACACAGAGATACACATAGACACACACAGAGACACACACAGAGACACACACAGAGACACACACAGAGACACACACAGAGACACACACAGAGACACACACAGAGACACACAGAGACATACACAGAGAGGGACACACAGAGACTCACAGAGACACACACAGACACACACACAGAGACACAGACGCACAGACACACACAGACGCACAGACACACACAGACGCACAGACGCACACAGAGACACAGACGCACACACAGAGACACAGACGCACAGACACGCACAGACGCACAGACACACACACAGACACACACACAGATACACACACACAGAGACACACACACACAGACACAGAGATACAGAGACGCACACACACGCACAGACACACGCACAGACACACGCACAGACACACGCACAGACACACACGCACAGACACACACACAGAGACACACACACAGAGACACACACACAGACGCACACACAAACAGACGCACACACAGAGACACACAGAGACACACAGAGACACACACAGACACACACAGAGACACACACAGACACACACACATACACAGAGACACACAGACTCACACAGACTCGCACAGAGACACACACAGACGCACAGACACACAAAGACACACAAAGACGCACAGACACACAGACTCACATAAACAACAACAACCGCCATTCGCCACTAAGTGGGGTGACGTCACCACGACGCTTGTGCCAAGCTATGTGCACCTTGAGGCCACGTGAAGTGTCGAACGCCCGCTGGCAGGAGGTCACGGGGCAGACCCAGGTGCCACGGGTCGACTGATTGAAATGACTGGCTGATGCACCACCTGTGCCCCCTACTGTGCCAACCTGCTGTGCTTTAGCCACCCGGCGCTCCGCTCGTTGTTGTGAGCGTCGCTGCTCCGCCCTCCGTTGTTGTTGGAGGGCGACTCCCTCCAACTGCCCAGTAGCATCCTTCATGAGCCTCCTCCACAGAGGCCGATCTTGACACTGCTGGTGCAGGTTATTGGCAAGTTCACCTAGCCCCACATCCTCCTGTACCACATCACTCCATCTCTTCTCTAGCCCGTGCCGCGCCCGTTTAGCCCCCTCGATCCGGCCGAACAAAAGCTGTTTCGGCATGCGGTGGCTGGGCATGCGGGCTACATGACCCAGCCATCGCAGCCTTGCCCGCCGGAGGAGCTCACCGATGGGACTTTGTCCAGATCTTTTCAAGGATTTGTGAGCTCCTCGCACAATCCAGCCTGGTTAAACCCAGGATGGATAATCGGTAGGCCAGCCTAAATGTTTCTAACAGGCAAAGAAGTTCCATTTGGGGGGGGTCCACGTTTCGCAAGCGTAGAGAAGGGAGGGAATGACCGTGGCCGAGAAGACCTGAAGCTTCGTGTGGAGCGACAGACCAGGTAGCTTCCACACAGCGTTAGGCAGCCAATGAAAAGATATTGCCGCTCGACTGATTCGGAGTGAGACCTCTACTGTCAAACCTGAGCCGGTCATGAGCACACTGCCCAGGTATGGAAAACCTTCCACTCTTTCCACAACTGCCCTATCACCAATTGGGAGTTGTGGGGGTAGAGTGTCTGATGGTACAAAATACCCAGGCAGGTGCTTAGTTTTGGTGGGGCTGATGGCAAGGCCCCACCTCTTAGTGGCACGGTCCAAGTTCCAGCAGCAGCGCCTCCAACTCCTCCGCTGAGTGAACAGCAATCACCAGATCAACAGCATCCATAATGCGGTTGACCAATAGGGAGCCATCCCGGGCATTGATTGGCCTCCCGTTGTATCTCCACCGAATTGGGAATGTATCCGGTACAGCCATCGAAGGCTTCACGAACTACGTGGTCGAAAAAATGACGTGGGACCCCGAGGACTTTCCTGTCGCACTCCAACGTGAACAGGGAATGGGCTCCGGCTCCCGGCCACGTAGTTTTACCCGTACACATGCACACGCACGCTTAGACACGTACATATATATACACACACAGACACATACTGCACATATGTAATGTAGCACTCGGAGACGCTGTTTTCTTAAGTTATATATACCAGAAAACCTTGGATTGCGAGTAACTTGGTCTGCAAGTGCTCTGCAAGACGGTACATTTTATAAAGTAAATATTAATCCGATGAACGAGCGAGGTCTTGCAATATGAGCGGTACGTGTACGCTTTGTCTGCCGAGCGTCACGTGATCACAGCTGAGCCAATGATTCTTCTCTCTCTCTCTCACTGCGGGATTGTGGGTAATCGTCTCCCATGCTCGGTCTCAGTCGGCGGGCCTCACTCGTATAGTCAACATCCGTGCGAGCGTTTACTGTTTACTATAGGACTATAGTGTTGTGACCACGTGTATACTGTTTACTATAGTGGTGTGACCACGTGTATACTGTTTACTACAGTACTATAGTGTTGTGACCACGTGTATACTGTTTACTATAGTACTATAGTGTTGTCACCATGTGTATACTGTTTACTACAGTACTATAGTGTTGTGAACACGTGTATACTGTTTACTATAGTACTATAGTGTTGTGACCACGTGTGTACTGTTTACTATAGTACTATAGTGTTGTGACCACGTGTATACTGTTTACTATAGTACTATAGTGTTGTGACCCACGTGTATACTGTTTACTATAGTACTATAGTGTTGTGACCACGTGTATACTGTTTACTATAGTACTATAGTGTTGTGACCACGTGTATACTGTTTACTATAGTACTATAGTGTTGTGACCACGTGTATACTGTTTACTACAGTACTATAGTGTTGTGACCACGTGTATACTGTTTACTACAGTACTATAGTGTTGTGACCACGTGTATACTGTTTACTATAGTACTATAGTGTTGTGACCACGTGTATACTGTTTACTATAATACTATAGTGTTGTGAACACGTGTATACTGTTTACTATAGTACTATAGTGTTGTGACCACGTGTGTACTGTTTACTATAGTACTATAGTGTTGTGACCACGTGTATACTGTTTACTATAGTACTATAGTGTTGTGACCACGTGTATACTGTTTACTATAGTACTATAGTGTTGTGACTACGTGTATACTGTTTACTATAGTACTATAGTGGTGTGACCACGTGTATACTGTTTACTATAGTACTATAGTGTTGTGACCACGTGTATACTGTTTACTATAGTACTATAGTGTTGTGACCACGTGTATACTGTTTACTATAGTACTATAGTGTTGTGACCACGTGTATAATGTTTACTACAGTACTATAGTGTTGTGACCACGTGTATACTGTTTACTATAGTACTATAGTGTTGTGAACACGTGTATACTGTTTACTATAGTGGTGTGACCACGTGTATACTGTTTACTACAGTACTATAGTGTTGTGACCACGTGTATACTGTTTACTATAGTACTATAGTGTTGTCACCATGTGTATACTGTTTACTACAGTACTATAGTGTTGTGAACACGTGTATACTGTTTACTATAGTACTATAGTGTTGTGACCACGTGTGTACTGTTTACTATAGTACTATAGTGTTGTGACCACGTGTATACTGTTTACTATAGTACTATAGTGTTGTGACCCACGTGTATACTGTTTACTATAGTACTATAGTGTTGTGACCACGTGTATACTGTTTACTATAGTACTATAGTGTTGTGACCACGTGTATACTGTTTACTATAGTACTATAGTGTTGTGACCACGTGTATACTGTTTACTACAGTACTATAGTGTTGTGACCACGTGTATACTGTTTACTACAGTACTATAGTGTTGTGACCACGTGTATACTGTTTACTATAGTACTATAGTGTTGTGACCACGTGTATACTGTTTACTATAATACTATAGTGTTGTGAACACGTGTATACTGTTTACTATAGTACTATAGTGTTGTGACCACGTGTGTACTGTTTACTATAGTACTATAGTGTTGTGACCACGTGTATACTGTTTACTATAGTACTATAGTGTTGTGACCACGTGTATACTGTTTACTATAGTACTATAGTGTTGTGACTACGTGTATACTGTTTACTATAGTACTATAGTGGTGTGACCACGTGTATACTGTTTACTATAGTACTATAGTGTTGTGACCACGTGTATACTGTTTACTATAGTACTATAGTGTTGTGACCACGTGTATACTGTTTACTATAGTACTATAGTGTTGTGACCACGTGTATAATGTTTACTACAGTACTATAGTGTTGTGACCACGTGTATACTGTTTACTATAGTACTATAGTGTTGTGAACACGTGTATACTGTTTACTATAGTACTATAGTGTTGTGACCAGGTGTATACTGTTTACTATAGTACTATAGTGTTGTGACCACGTGTACACTGTTTACTACAGTACTATAGTGTTGTGAACACGTGTATACTGTTTACTACAGTACTATAGTGTTGTGAACACGTGTATACTGTTTTCTATAGTGTTGTGACCACGTGTATACTGTTTACTACAGTACTATAGTGTTGTGACCACGTGTATACTGTTTACTATAGTACTATAGTGTTGTGACCACGTGTATACTGTTTACTATAGTACTATAGTGTTGTGACCACGTGTATACTGTTTACTATAGTACTACAGTGTTGTGACCACGTGTATACTGTTTACTCTAGTACTATAGTGTTGTGACCACGTGTATATTGTTTACTACAGTACTATAGTGTTGTGACCACGTGTATACTGTTTACTATAGTACTATAGTGTTGTGACCACGTGTATACTGTTTACTACAGTACTATAGTGTTGTGACTACGTGTATACTGTTTACTATAGTACTATAGTGTTGTGAACACGTGTATACTGTTTACTATAGTACTATAGTGTTTTGACCACGTGTATACTGTTTACTATAGTACTATAGTGGTGTGACCACGTGTGTACTGTTTACTACAGTACTATAGTGTTGTGACCACGTGTACTGTTTACTATAGTACTATAGTGGTGTGACCACGTGTGTACTGTTTACTACAGTACTACAGTGTTGTGACCACGTGTATACTGTTTACTATAGTACTATAGTGTTGTGACCACGTGTATACTGTTTACTATAGTACTATAGTGTTGTGACCACGTGTGTACTGTTTACTATAGTACTATAGTGTTGTGACCTCGTGTATACTGTTTACTATAGTACTATAGTGTTGTGACCCACGTGTATACTGTTTACTATAGTACTATAGTGTTGTGACCACGTGTATACTGTTTACTACAGTACTATAGTGTTGTGACCACGTGTATACTGTTTACTATAGTACTATAGTGTTGTGACTACGTGTATACTGTTTACTATAGTACTATAGTGTTGTGACCACGTGTATACTGTTTACTATAGTACTATAGTGTTGTGACCACGTGTATACTGTTTACTACAGTACTATAGTGTTGTGACCACGTGTATACTGTTTACTATAGTGTTGTGACCACGTGTATACTGTTTACTATAGTACTATAGTGTTGTGAGCACGTGTATACTGTTTACTATAGTACTATAGTGTTTTGACCACGTTTATACTGTTTACTATAGTAATATAGTGTTGTGACCACGTGTATACTGTTTACTACAGTACTATAGTGTTGTGACCACGTGTATACTGTTTACTACAGTACTATAGTGTTGTAACCACGTGTATACTGTTTACTACAGTACTATAGTGTTGTGACCACGTGTATACTGTTTACTATAGAACTATAGTGTTGTGAACACGTGTATACTGTTTACTATAGTACTATAGTGGTGTGACCACGTTTATACTGTTTACTATAGTACTATAGTGTTGTGACCACGTGTATACTGTTTACTACAGTACTATAGTGTTGTGACCACGTGTATACTGTTTACTATAGTACTATAGTGTTGTGACCACGTGTATACTGTTTACTATAGTACTATAGTGTTGTGAACACGTGTATACTGTTTACTACAGTACTATAGTGTTGTGAAAACGTGTATACTGTTTACTATAGTACTATAGTGTTGTGACCACGTGTATACTGTTTACTACAGTACTATAGTGTTGTGACCACGTGTATACTGTTTACTATAGTACTATAGTGTTGTGACCACGTGTATACTGTTTACTATAGTACTATAGTGTTGTGACCACGTGTATACTGTTTACTATAGTACTATAGTGTTGTGACCACGTGTATACTGTTTACTATAGTACTATAGTGTTGTGAACACGTGTGTACTGTTTACTATAGTACTATAGTGTTGTGACCACGTGTGTACTGTTTACTACAGTACTATAGTGTTGTGACCACGTGTATACTGTTTACTATAGTACTATAGTGTTGTGACCACGTGTATACTGTTTACTATAGTACTATAGTGTTGTGACCACGTGTATACTGTTTACTATAGTACTTAGTGTTGTGACCACGTGTATACTGTTTACTATAGTACTATAGTGTTGTGACCACGTGTATACTGTTTACTATAGTACTATAGTGTTGTGACCACGTGTATACTGTTTACTATAGTACTATGGTGTTGTGACCACGTGTATACTGTTTACTACAGTACTATGGTGTTGTGACCACGTGTATACTGTTTACTATAGTACTATAGTGTTGTGACCACGTGTATACTGTTTACTACAGTACTATGGTGTTGTGACCATGTGTATACTGTTTACTATAGTACTACAGTGTTGTGACTACGTGTATACTGTTTACTATAGTACTATAGTGTTGTGACCACGTGTATACTGTTTACTACAGTACTATAGTGTTGTGACCACGTGTATACTGTTTACTATAGTACTATAGTGTTGTGACCACGTGTATACTGTTTACTATAGTACTATAGTGTTGTGACCACGTGTATACTGTTTACTATAGTACTATAGTGTTGTGAACACGTGTATACTGTTTACTATAGTGTTGTGACCACGTGTATACTGTTTACTATAGTACTATAGTGTTGTGACCACGTGTATACTGTTTACTACAGTACTATAGTGTTGTGACTACGTGTATACCGTTTACTATAGTACTATAGTGTTGTGACCACGTGTATACTGTTTACTATAGTACTATAGTGTTGTGACCACGTGTATACTGTTTACTATAGTACTATAGTGTTGTGACCACGTGTATACTGTTTACTACAGCTCTCCCCCTGTGTGTGTCTCTCTCCCCCTGTGTGTGTCTCTCTCCCCCTGTGTCTCTCTCTCCCCGTGTCTCTCTCTCCCCGTGTCTCTCTCTCTCCCCGTGTCTCTCTCTCTCCCCGTGTCTCTCTCTCTCCCCGTGTCTCTCTCTCTCCCCGTGTCTCTCTCTCTCCCCGTGTCTCTCTCTCTCCCCGTGTCTCTCTCTCTCCCCGTGTCTCTCTCTCTCCCCGTGTCTCTCTCTCTCCCCGTGTCTCTCTCTCTCCCCGTGTCTCTCTCTCTCCCCGTGTCTCTCTCTCTCCCCGTGTCTCTCTCTCTCTCTCTCCCCGTGTCTCTCTCTCTCCCTGTGTGTGTGTCTCTCTCCCCGTGTCTCTCTCTCTCTCTCTCCCTGTGTGTGTGTCTCTCTCCCCGTGTCTCTCTCTCCCCCTGTGTGTGTCTCTCTCCCCGTGTCTCTCTCTCTCCCTGTGTGTGTGTCTCTCTCCCCGTGTCTCTCTCTCCCCCTGTGTGTGTCTCTCTCCCCGTGTCTCTCTCTCTCCCTGTGTGTGTGTCTCTCTCCCCGTGTCTCTCTCTCTCCCTGTGTGTGTGTCTCTCTCCCCGTGTCTCTCTCCCCCTGTGTGTGTGTCTCTCTCCCCGTGTCTCTCTCTCTCCCCCTGTGTGTGTGTCTCTCTCTCCCCCTGTCTCTCTCTCTCCCCCTGTGTGTGTGTGTCTCTCTCCCCGTGTCTCTCTCTCCCCCTGTGTGTGTGTGTCTCTCTCCCCGTGTCTCTCTCTCCCCCTGTGTGTGTGTGTCTCTCTCCCCGTGTCTCTCTCTCTCTCTCCCTGTGTGTGTGTCTCTCTCCCCCTGTCTCTCTCTCTCCCCCTGTGTGTGTGTGTGTCTCTCTCCCCCTGTCTCTCTCTCTCCCTGTGTGTGTGTCTCTCTCCCCGTGTCTCTCTCTCTCCCTGTGTGTGTGTCTCTCTCTCTCCCTGTGTGTGTGTCTCTCTCCCCGTGTCTCTCTCTCTCCCCCTGTGTGTGTGTGTGTCTGTCTCTCTCCCCGTGTCTCTCTCTCTCCCTGTGTGTGTCTCGCTCTCCCCGTGTCTCTCTCTCCCCCTGTGTGTGTGTGTCTCTCTCCCCGTGTCTCTCTCTCTCTCTCTCCCCCTGTGTGTGTCTCTCTCTCTCTCCCTGTGTGTGTCTCACTCTCCCCGTGTCTCTCTCTCTCTCCCCCTGTGTGTGTCTCTCTCTCTCTCCCTGTGTGTGTCTCGCTCTCCCCGTGTCTCTCCCCCTGTGTGTGTGTGTGTGTGTCTCTTTCTCCTTGCAGGCTATCGGAGTCTCGTTCGTCGCCGTGATTGGCTCTGGGATGCTCGTGAGGTCCATTCCCTATGAGGGGAAACTCGGATTGAAGCATGCAGCCTGGACCATGCACGCAGGTACACGGGGAGAGAGACACGGGGAGAGAGAGAGACACGGGGAGAGAGACACGGGGAGAGAGAGACACGGGGAGAGAGAGAGACACGGGGAGAGAGAGAGACACGGGGAGAGAGAGAGACACGGGGAGAGAGAGAGACACGGGGAGAGAGACACGGGGAGAGAGACACGGGGAGAGAGAGACACGGGGAGAGAGAGAGACACGGGGAGAGAGACACGGGGAGAGAGACACGGGGAGAGAGAGAGACACGGGGAGAGAGAGAGACACGGGGAGAGAGAGACACGGGGAGAGAGACACGGGGAGAGAGACACGGGGAGAGAGAGACACGGGGAGAGAGATACACGGGGAGAGAGATACACGGGGAGAGAGAGAGAGACACGGGGAGAGAGACACGGGGAGAGAGACACGGGGAGAGAGACACGGGGAGAGAGAGAGACGGGGAGAGAGAGACATGGGGAGAGAGAGACACGGGGAGAGAGAGACACGGGGAGAGAGACACGGGGAGAGAGAGACACGGGGAGAGAGAGACACGGGGAGAGAGAGACACGGGGAGAGAGAGACACGGGGAGAGAGACACGGGGAGAGAGACACGGGGAGAGAGACACGGGGAGAGAGACACGGGGAGAGAGACACGGGGAGAGAGAGACACGGGGAGAGACACACGGGGAGAGAGACACGGGGAGAGAGAGAGACACGGGGAGAGAGAGAGACACGGGGAGAGAGAGACACGGGGAGAGAGACACGGGGAGAGAGACACGGGGAGAGAGAGACACGGGGAGAGAGAGACACGGGGAGAGAGAGACACGGGGAGAGAGAGACACGGGGAGAGAGACACGGGGAGAGAGACACGGGGAGAGAGACACGGGGAGAGAGAGACACGGGGAGAGAGAGACACGGGGAGAGAGAGACACGGGGAGAGAGACACGGGGAGAGAGTGAGACACGGGGAGAGAGACACGGGGAGAGAGACACGGGGAGAGAGACACGGGGAGAGAGACACGGGGAGAGAGAGACACGGGGAGAGAGAGACACGGGGAGAGAGAGACACGGGGAGAGAGACACGGGGAGAGAGAGACACGGGGAGAGAGACACGGGGAGAGAGAGAGACACGGGGAGAGAGAGAGACACGGGGAGAGAGAGAGACACGGGGAGAGAGAGACACGGGGAGAGAGAGACACGGGGAGAGAGAGACACGGGGAGAGAGAGACACGGGGAGAGAGAGACACGGGGAGAGAGAGACACGGGGAGAGAGAGACACGGGGAGAGAGAGACACGGGGAGAGAGACACGGGGAGAGAGAGACACGGGGAGAGAGAGACACGGGGAGAGAGAGACACGGGGAGAGAGAGACACGGGGAGAGAGAGAGAGAGACACGGGGAGAGAGAGAGACACGGGGAGAGAGAGAGAGACACGGGGAGAGAGACACGGGGAGAGAGAGACACGGGGAGAGAGAGACACGGGGAGAGAGAGAGACACGGGGAGAGAGAGAGACACGGGGAGAGAGAGAGACACGGGGAGAGAGAGACACGGGGAGAGAGAGACACGGGGAGAGAGACACACGGGGAGAGAGACACGGGGAGAGAGACACGGGGAGAGAGACACGGGGAGAGAGAGACACGGGGAGAGAGAGACACGGGGAGAGAGAGACACGGGGAGAGAGAGACACGGGGAGAGAGAGACACGGGGAGAGAGAGACACGGGGAGAGAGACACGGGGAGAGAGAGACACGGGGAGAGAGAGACACGGGGAGAGAGAGACACGGGGAGAGAGAGACACGGGGAGAGAGGAGACACGGGGAGAGAGAGACACGGGGAGAGAGACACGGGGAGAGAGAGACACGGGGAGAGAAAGACACGGGGAGAGAGAGACACGGGGAGAGAGAGACACGGGGAGAGAGAGACACGGGGAGAGAGAGGAGAGAGACACGGGGAGAGAGAGACACGGGAGAGAGAGACACGCGGAGAGAGAGAGACACGGGGAGAGAGACACGGGGAGAGAGAGACACGGGGAGAGAGAGAGACACGGGGAGAGAGAGAGACACGGGGAGAGAGAGAGACAGGGGGAGAGAGAGAGACACGGGGAGAGAGAGAGACACGGGGAGAGAGAGAGACACGGGGAGAGAGAGAGACACGGGGAGAGAGAGAGACACGGGGAGAGAGAGAGACACGGGGAGAGAGAGAGACACGGGGAGAGAGAGAGACACGGGGAGAGAGAGACACGGGGAGAGAGAGACACGGGGAGAGAGAGAGACACGGGGAGAGAGAGAGACACGGGGAGAGAGAGACACGGGAGAGAGAGAGACACGGGGAGAGAGAGACACGGGGAGAGAGAGACACGGGGAGAGAGAGACACGGGGAGAGAGAGAGACACGGGGAGAGAGAGAGACACGGGGAGAGAGAGAGACACGGGGAGAGAGAGACACGGGGAGAGAGAGAGACACGGGGAGAGAGAGAGACACGGGGAGAGAGAGAGACACGGGGAGAGAGAGACACGGGGAGAGAGAGACACGGGGAGAGAGACACGGGGAGAGAGAGACACGGGGAGAGAGAGACACGGGGAGAGAGAGACACGGGGAGAGAGAGACACGGGGAGAGAGAGACACGGGGAGAGAGAGACACGGGGAGAGAGACACGGGGAGAGAGACACGGGAGAGAGAGAGACACGGGGAGAGAGAGACACGGGGAGAGAGAGACACGGGGAGAGAGAGAGACACGGGGAGAGAGACACGGGGAGAGAGACACGGGGAGAGAGAGACACGGGGAGAGAGAGAGACACGGAGAGAGAGAGAGACACGGGGAGAGAGAGAGAGACGGTGAGAGAGAGACACGGGGAGAGAGAGAGACACAGGGGAGAGAGAGAGACACGGGGAGAGAGAGAGACACGGGGAGAGAGAGAGACACGGGGAGAGAGACACGGGGAGAGAGAGACACGGGGAGAGAGAGACACGGGGAGAGAGAGAGACACGGGGAGAGAGAGAGACACGGGGAGAGAGAGAGACACGGGGAGAGAGAGAGACACGGGGAGAGAGAGACACGGGGAGAGAGAGACACGGGGAGAGAGACACGGGGAGAGAGAGAGACACAGGGAGAGAGACACGGGGAGAGAGAGACACGGGGAGAGAGAGACACGGGGAGAGAGAGACACGGGGAGAGAGAGACACGGGGAGAGAGAGACACGGGGAGAGAGAGACACGGGGAGAGAGAGACACGGGGAGAGAGACACGGGGAGAGAGACACGGGGAGAGAGACACGGGGAGAGAGACACGGGGAGAGAGAGACACGGGGAGAGAGAGACACGGGGAGAGAGAGACACGGGGAGAGAGAGACACGGGGAGAGAGAGAGAGACACGGGGAGAGAGAGAGAGACACGGGGAGAGAGAGAGAGACACGGGGAGAGAGAGAGAGACAGGGGGAGAGAGACACGGGGAGAGAGAGAGACACGGGGAGAGAGAGAGACACGGGGAGAGAGAGAGACACGGGGAGAGAGAGACACGGGGAGAGAGAGACACGGGGAGAGAGACACGGGGAGAGAGACACGGGGAGAGAGACACGGGGAGAGAGAGACACGGGGAGAGAGAGACACGGGGAGAGAGAGACACGGGGAGAGAGAGACACGGGGAGAGAGAGACACGGGGAGAGAGACACGGGGAGAGAGAGACACGGGGAGAGAGAGACACGGGGAGAGAGAGACACGGGGAGAGAGAGACACGGGGAGAGAGACACGGGGAGAGAGAGACACGGGGAGAGAGAGAGACACGGGGAGAGAGAGACACGGGAGAGAGAGAGACACGGGGAGAGAGAGAGACACGGGAGAGAGAGAGACACGGGGAGAGAGAGAGACACGGGGAGAGAGAGAGACACGGGGAGAGAGAGACACGGGGGAGAGAGAGAGACACGGGGAGAGAGAGAGACACGGGGAGAGAGAGAGACACGGGGAGAGAGAGAGACACGGGAGAGAGAGAGACACGGGGAGAGAGAGAGACACGGGGAGAGAGAGAGACACGGGGAGAGAGAGACACGGGGAGAGAGAGACACGGGGAGAGAGAGAGACACGGGGAGAGAGAGAGAGACACGGGGAGAGAGAGAGACACGGGGAGAGAGAGACACGGGGAGAGAGAGAGACACGGGGAGAGAGAGACACGGGGAGAGAGAGACACGGGGAGAGAGACACGGGGAGAGAGACACGGGAGAGAGACACGGGAGAGAGAGACACGGGGAGAGAGAGACACGGGGAGAGAGAGACACGGGGAGAGAGAGACACGGGGAGAGAGAGAGACACGGGGAGAGAGAGAGAGACACGGGGAGAGAGAGAGAGACACGGGGAGAGAGAGAGAGACACGGGGAGAGAGAGAGAGACACGGGGAGAGAGAGACACGGGGAGAGAGAGAGACACGGGGAGAGAGAGAGACACGGGGAGAGAGAGAGACACGGGGAGAGAGAGACACGGGGAGAGAGAGACACGGGGAGAGAGACACGGGGAGAGAGACACGGGGAGAGAGACACGGGGAGAGAGACACGGGGAGAGAGAGACACGGGGAGAGAGAGACACGGGGAGAGAGAGACACGGGGAGAGAGAGACACGGGGAGAGAGAGACACGGGGAGAGAGACACGGGGAGAGAGAGACACGGAGAGAGAGACACGGAGAGAGAGACACGGGGAGAGAGAGACACGGGGAGAGAGAGAGACACGGGGAGAGAGACACGGGAGAGAGAGACACGGGGAGAGAGAGACACGGGGAGAGAGAGACACGGGGAGAGAGAGACACGGGGAGAGAGAGACACGGGGAGAGAGAGACACGGGGAGAGAGAGACACGGGGAGAGAGAGACACGGGGAGAGAGAGACACGGGGAGAGAGAGACCGGGGGAGAGAGACACGGGGAGAGAGAGACACGGGGAGAGAGAGACACGGGGAGAGAGAGACACGGGGAGAGAGAGGACACGGGGAGAGAGAGAGACACGGGGAGAGAGAGAGACACGGGGAGAGAGAGAGACACGGGGAGAG